ATGTGCAGTGAATTGAAGCATGATATCTCTGCGGAAGCAATTTTAGACCATTAATGTGACTCCTCAAAGGTTTCTTTTAAAAATAAGGTAGCATGGGGCTGAGCATCATGCAAAAGCAGGGCTGTTGATCTGCAGCACAGAGACCAGCCTCCTGCACGCCTCCAACCACGGTGGTCACTGCTGAGACCAAAGGTTGCTCTCCTCATCCACTTCAAACTCTGGGTATAATCTGCTTTTGAGATCCTGATACAACAAATTGCTCTAATTAAGGTAATGAGAGCAGCATCTCGCAGAGGGTGCTGGTACCTGGCTTGCTCTCTTACACTGAAAACTCCTCCTTTGCTTGCATTTAAAGAAATGTGTTACTAAATTCATATCAAACCATATTTATTCTTCCTGTGAACCTAGTTCTTGGTCACTAGATTGTTCCTCCTGATCCTCGTGGGATCAGGTGTCTGTGCTCAGGGCTACACAGAGCTCATTCTTTAGATATTCAAGTGTGGCTCTGCACATTTTACTTTTAAATCAAGGGACAAGCTCCCAAAACAGAACGCTACAGTTCAGAGAATTAGTGCATCAGACTGGAAGTATCACAGAATAACAGGATTAGTATTTATTCGGAATATTCACTGTTCATCTCTTGGGATCAGTTTTTCATTCCTCAGAGTTGTTTGCTAGGTGCTGTGGTGTTGAGGTTTCTTGGTGAAGATGGTGTATTTTGGGGGGGAAGAAGGGGAATGGCATTGCTTGTTTCCTCCTTTGCTGTAAGGCTACTTCCTAATAATTAACTTGTGAGTCTTGTGGGATATTGGATATTGTAAAACCACCAGCATGTCAGAAAGAGTTGGGGGAGGAGGTCAGGGCCCTACAGAGGTGGTAGAATCTGTATAGTGATGTAGAATCTGGCAGTGGGGGGTCTGGTTTTGCAGTGGCAGTTTTCAGAAATATTTATGCATTTTCCTTATTTGTAGCTGTAACTGAAGATGTTGAGGCAAAACGTTTGCCTGAGCTTCTGTCTCATTTCTTTTTAGCCTCCATCTTACTTCAGAATTGGCCATTGTTTTAAGATGCTGGGATCAAATGTGCTGCATGTGCCTGGGAATACAGCACTGTATAAACCAGGCTCTTCCCATAACCTGTGTCATGGGAATGTGGCTGCACTGTATGCAAAGAACGTGGCACTTCTGCAGCAGCCAGGGTCTGTGGTGCTTGATGGTGTGGCTGAGTTACTGCCTCCTTCATGGAGAGCCTCCAGGCCTTGCAGTGCTCCCCTCTGGCGTTTCCCATGTGCATACCCTTTCAGATATTTGGATAAAATTCATCTAGATCTGCTCCCCATCCAGCTGGTTTTGTTTGGTTGACTTCTCAGTTGAGGCCAGCTTGGGAGTAAGGTAAGAGCAGGCCCAGCAGAAGCTGTGGGGTGACCCTTGCTGGCTGGGGAGGTTGTCCTCCAGTTCCTCACCCCAAGCTCACTTGGGCAGTGGCTATGGTTGCCAGCTTCTGGGCTGTTCCTGGCCGTTGGTTTTCCAGCTGCTCTGGATGGAATTGTGAGATCAGAGATCTGGGGTTTATTTGTGGTTGTTTGGAGCTTGTGTTTTCAGTAGCAGGTTCCTGCTTAAGCGTGCAGATCGTAGGCATCCAGGGTGAGATGGCTCCTTTGACTGCTTCCCCCTGCCCAGGGAGTTACAGAAAGAGCACAAACCAACAACTGTTTAAAAAGAAAAAAAAACAAGCAGCAAACCCAGAAAGAACCACAGGCACTAGAGGTATCTTCGTGCTTGCTTTGTGCTCCTCTGAAGCAGAGCTCTTAAGCGTTTGTCAGCTGCCAGAGGATTTGGGAAGTTCAATGTTTGTAAAAGGTGTTCTGCTCCGGTGAGCAGAAAAGCTCTAATTGCAGAGTGGTGATGTTGGGGTTCTGGGATGTGCTCTCTAATCTGCTCACTAATCACCTCCGGGCATTCCATCTGTAGGCCTCGGGTTTTTGGCCTTCATTTCTTTTTCCCCCTAGTCTGGAAACAAAACCTTTGCCTTCCTGGAGCTACGTGGACTGGGCTGGCTGCTGTGAGGCAGGTGTGGCCCAGTCTCCCCTGGTCTCACACCCTTCTTTCTTGCTGTGAGTGATTTTAGGGGAGTTTGTTTGCTTTTATCTAACTCAGTCAAGTGTCCATGTTAGGGATCGGTGTTTTGTGTGTGCCTGAGCCTCCTCAGCTAGGCTCTTCCACCAGAGCAGCTCTGCAGAGCCTGGTTTTTGGGTTGCAGGCTGCCAGGGCTCAGCTTGGCTGAGCTGAGGTGGGTGTAGTCCCCTGGGCTGCTCTGGAGCAGCACCAGTGAGGTGCTGGCTTCTGTGAAGGACGTGTGGAGCAGAAGCTCCTCTCAAGCTTGCAGGGGACTTGCCCAGCTGCTGTGTGGAGACAAGGTCACTCTGGTTGCAGGTACACTTTGTGGCAACCAGGTGACACAGGGGGTGGATTTGGACTTGTAGTTGGCAACACGACGGTGTTGGAGCAGCCAGTTTACTCTGGGAACTTCTGAGGGATCATACCCTGAGCTGCTGGAGGATCCTCTGAGCACCTTTCTCCTTCTGCAGGCGGCTGGGGAGGAAGTTTTCGAGGAGGGAAGGTGAAGTAATGAAGCTCTAAAATTTCCATGCAGGCTGCGTATGGAAAAGGACAAACAGGTTTAGGCACTGATAATGTGAAAGCAGGAACTGCCTCCCTGGGAGCTCGGGTGGGCTTATCTTCCCTCGGGTGCTCTGGTATTTTTTTGTTGGCTCTGCTCCTGGTATGAGGCATTCTTTAGAGGAGAGAACAGTGCTTCCCTTGGGTGCAGGAGCTGACCTAACGGCCCAGGAATGGTTTCCTCTGTGCAGCTTGTCTCACTGAGCTGTGCCCTAGCTCTGTGTGACAGTTTGGGGCTTTCTCTCCTCCTCACAACTATCCTCTAGTGCTTGTCAGCACCTTCAGCACAACTTACCTGCCTGTATTTTAACAGGAGGAAGTGACCATAATAATGTCCTGAGCAGTTTTAACCTGCTTGGGCTTTTATTTTGGAGTTTGTAATGATTTCATTCTAGATTTTTTTTTTCAGAAAATCAGCTTTTTGGTGACTCTTGTTTCTCCTCTTACTCAATTTCCCAACAGTTATCCTCAGCAGTCCCTTAAAGTGGCAGCTGTCCCTTGGGTCAAGGGTCAGGCTGTTCACTGTGCATTTTGAAATCAATCCTGTGTTCATCTTGAAGATCATTCTTTGACAGGACTTTTTAAATCATAGATGACTGGAGTAAACCATTTCTAGCTCTTCCTGATCCCTGAGTGAGTTCCACAGAGGCATTTATTCAATGCAGGACATTTGCTTTTGCATGTGTAGTGGGTAAAGTGGGAGTGGTGGAATTTTCTTCCTATTTGCTCCATTAGCTTTTCTTTCCCTTTTTTTTAACCTGTTGTTTCTTGGGGCTACGTTGAGCATTCTACTCCAGTACAGCATTTAAGTGGGTTCAGTGCAACGAATCTGTTTTTAAATAAAGCCTTGAGAAGTGACCTGGCTTCTCTTCAGGATGAGTTGCATCTCCAGTTGCAGAGAAGACCCTGTCTGGTGTGAGTGTTGAAATCTTGCCAGTGCAGAGCAGATTTCAAGGATTAGCTTTTTTTTTATGTGCCTAAACTATTTTTTTTTTTCCTGTCTACATCTGACAGTGCAGATCAAGGCCAGGAGAATCAAATGCCAATTTAACACTTTGTTAGAATATTAGCTCTGTATATTTTCCTATAAATACTGGCAGTATCTTAGTCTGTAGGCGGATAGTGTTCTAATGCAAATAGTTGTTGAGAGTCATCAAGTAACTTGTCAGTCAGTTATTTCCCTAAGTTCCTTACCTGGAGTTCTTCCTGTCTTGCTTTGAGACTGGAAATACAAATCTTCTGGCTTCCTCTTTGTCATCCCCTGTCAGAATCCCCTTTGGCTCTTCCCACACCTCCTGTGTCCCCTTCTCAGGCGGAGGGAAGCAAGAGAGAAGCGTTCCAAGGCTGCTGGGAACCAGCTACTCTGGCGTTCATCCCTTTGATCCCTTAGTGAGATTTTATGGCTTGTCTTTGCTTTGGAATAGCAGATTTTAAAATGACTGTTGGCACCTCGATGTGTCCTGGGCTCAGGAGGGGCTGGGATGGGATAAATCTTCCCCAGGAGGGTGAAAAGCAAGCGGGGGTTGTGCCTCTCTGGCAGAGCATGAGCTGCCCCCGTGTCTTTTTCCAGTACGTGGCGACCCACAAGTACCAGTGTGTGTCTGGAGATCCTTCCCTGCAGCAGCTGCAGTGCCCTGTGTCCTGCTGTGAGCTGAGAGCCACGGGGATGTGCTGTTTGTGCACGTCAGTCGTGGACACTTCAGAGCTGCTCTGGGAGACCCCAGGAGCTTTCCAACGCCAGCGTCTCGCCACCTTCCCTGCTCGGCTCGCTTGAGGAGTGAGCAGTGACTCTCCTGTTGTTTGCCAAGATGCTTTTAGTGCTTGGGAAGCACCAAGGCCTGTCCAGTCAGGTTGGGTCTCTGCAGGTCCCATGTCCTGTTTTTTTGGCAGAACTCCCCCATCCTGCCACGCTGCCACTCCTGCTGGGAATCCCGACAGCACAGAGGGAGCCAGCAGGGCTGGCCTTGGTGCTCCAAGGGGTGCCTGAGTTGTGTGTCTGGCTTTGTTTTAATATTAACCAGAGCTGTTTCAAGAGTTCCGTGTCAAAAAGGCATCTGGGAGTTCACGGGGGGGAAAGGAATTGTGTCAGCTGGGGCTGGGAACGTGCTTGGGCAGTGCCACAGGGGCTGGCACCGTCTCGGTCACCCAGGGACGAGGTCGATCTGTGCTGTGCCCTGACCTCTTCATCCTCCTCACTGCAGCACCCGCAGCTCTGTGGGGAAGTCTGGACCTGGTTGTGGTCCCTGGATTGTCTCCTGCTGGCCGTGGGTGCACGCTGCAAATAAACCCTGCAGATGAAGCTGCTCACAACGACACCGAGCTGCGCAGGCAGCGTCCTCAGGGCCAGGCTTGCTCAACATCCTGCCGTGGCACAGCACGAAATGCCAGGCCTGGGGGCTTCTTAAAAACTGCTTCAATTAAGATTTGAATTTTAAATCATTCTTTGTCCTTTTGACACCCTGTGTTGCACAGGCTGTTAATTTCTGCTGTTGATTCTATCCAAGGAGAGAGCGTGTTTTAAAAATAATGGAAAGCCCCAAAACCTGACACCTTTCAAAGGGGCACAGAAGCACATTCAAACAGGCACATTTTTTAAGAAATAATAACAAACTCATACTGACATTCTGGTTTCAACTCGAGGGGGGGTTACTGCTGTATCCTGCATTGTTGTGGCTCTAAGAAGCCAAGAGAAAAGTGATTTTATAATAGATGTGAACTGTGACAGGGCATCACTTACGTTTTGTAACTCCTTGTGAAAAGGCAGAGTCCTAATAGAGGAATAAAGAGGCTATTTTGGCTTTCAATTTTTTTTTTTCTGTCTTAAATGTTCTTTTATAGTCTTTGGAAAAATAAATAAAATGTTAAACACAGATTCCAGAGGCTGTGGTATCTCTGCATTGTTGCTGGGAGACCTGGACTGGCATATCTTATTTTGACAGTTTTCCAGGGCGATTAGCTGGGCTGGCCTCTTCCTGTATTCCTGGGGCTTGGAGGGAATCTCTGGGAGCCTCCTCCCCTCCCTTCATCACTAACACTGTTTTTTCTCTCTCCCAGCTCCCAGCATGTCCACGGACGGTGGCTTTGGCACGGCTGGGAACAGTGATGCCCAGCAGAGCCTCCAGTCCTTCTGGCCACGAGTCATGGAGGAGATCCGCAACCTCACCGTGGTGAGTGCCCTGCTCCTGCCTGGCAGCGAGGTGGAGCTCAGCTGGGATGTGTTCCTGCTGCCCGTGGGATCCAGTAGTTGGTTGTTTGCATGCTACAAGAGCTGATAAATAATTGTTTAGGCTTTTGACTTGAGGCTACTGCTGCCCAAAGTTGAGGGATAGGCTGAATGCCGCTGATTCAGAGCATGAAGAGATGGAATAGTCACACCTTAGCTCTTTCTGGGCAAAGCAAGGGGACAAAGCTGATTCAAAGGTTCTTTTAACAGGCTAAATGATGACTTGTGGCTGCTTTCTAGAGAATTGCAGGGGAATTATGTTCTCTTTAAGGGGGAAAAGGGATTTTAAAATAGCTATAGGTATACTTGTAGCTGCCATATGCTGGTTTAGCAAACAGAAGGTTGAGGGATTTGAGAACATGGCATTAACTGCCGTGCAAATTCTGTGGGATAAAATGTGTGACTAGCATGTGAAGGGAACCCTCATCCACACTGAAGGACAGGCCACATCAGCACACCCTGGGAGATGTCACTGTTCAAAATACAGCTTCATTTTTTCCTCCCCTTCATAAATTCAAACACCTTGCTATTGGCAGACTTCATTTTGTGAATGACTTTTTGAGCTTAGACTTCAGTAGAGGACTATTCTGCTCTCTCCCAGAGCTATCTCCTGTGAGGAGCCTGGAATTGTGAACCTGAATGCCCAATGCATTGTTATAATGCCCTTTATTAATGTAAAGACATCTGGTTAAAAAAAAAATAAATCCTGTATGGGGAGTGGTACAACAATTGGACTAAGGAGGTTCTTTATTTTTCTGTCCCCAAAAGAGATGTACCTGAGAACAAGGGCATGTAATAAAAATGACTTTTCAAGAGAGGTTGATGGATGGCTGTGATACAGTGCTCCTGAAAACACACTCCTCTGCTTTTAGCAGAGCTGAAAACAAAAGAACTCCAGTCAAAGACTGGCTCTTCAAAGAGAAAACCCCAATCCACTAGTCTGAAGATAAGCTGCTTTTTCTTTTTTTTCATCCTGTGTGCAGATAGTTGATTAAAGAAACAGATGTAGAAATTTGTATGCATAACCAGAATTAATTACTTTCCTCTTTCAGAGCAGTGAATTCTTGTGTTCAAGAGCTGTAGTTTGTCTTCATCTCCACATGAAAGGGGTTTATTATGCAGCTTATCAAGTACGGGCAGCTTAATTTTTAACTGTCGTATGAATCTATTTCTTGCATTGCAAGCTAGTAAGTCATTGAAAATTTCACTGAGGACAATGAAGGGGGGTTGGAAAGGAAAAGGGATCACTGCAAAACATTCCTGTGTGGTTGTCCCCTGTGTAATCCCACCCTGAAGCACATTGCTGGGAGTGCTCCCGTGGCTGTGGACGTGAGTGAACTTAGAGCTCATCTGCACGTGCTGTGGAGTGGAGGTCAGAGCAGCCCTTTGTGCACAGCCTGCTTGGGTCGCCTGCTTTTTGGGGCTGTCTCTGCCTGGGATTGTGCCTTTGCCACGTGTTGCTGGGAGCTAAAACTCAAGGTGGGGGGAAGAAAACAAGGGAGCTGCTTTAGAGGAGCAAACCAGAGCTCCCTGTCCTCCGCCCGAGAGGACAGCAAGGGTTGTAGCCTAGGCTTGGAGAAATGGGCAGCAGGACTGGGCTGAAACGAGTGTTTCAGCTCCACAGTGAGTTAGAAGAGGCCTGGGAAAACATCGAGACCTAATTTGGAAAAAAGAAAAGATGAAGAATTGGTGTCTGAAGTTCGTTCTGCTGGGTGGTAGCCAGCAGTGGTCACGCTTCCCTTCACCGTGGTACTTGCGTATTAATTCTTCTTTGTGTGACGTTTGCCTGTCTGCCTTAAAGGAGCTTGGAGTTTGTTCTCCTTTCTCCCACTGTCTCCCTTCTCTAAAGGGTTTAATAATGTTGTACCCGTGCACCTCTACTTGCAGTCCTGCTGTTCATAGGAGTTAATATCCTTAAGACTGCTAAGAGTTTCACAGATTACAAATTTCATCCCCATCTTTGAGGCTTGCTCGAAGCTCAGGAGACTCTTTTCAAAAGGAAAGAGCTTTTAGAAAAAAATTTGAAACAGCAACAAAAACCCCTCAACCCTTTAGGTTGTTTTCCCAAGCTCTAGCAACCTCTTAACTTGTTTATGTAGCAGTTACTGGTTGAAAATGCCACCCTGAGCACATTGTGTGTTCGAGCCCAGGTCCAAGCCCTGGATGTCCTCTAATCTCATTGCCTCAAATCCTTCCAAAATGCAGCATTCACCTGTGGGGTGCTGCAGCACAAACAGCCCCACGCCCCAAAGCTGCTCATTTGCAGCATGTTACTTGGAGCAGCAGGACCATGATGTTCACCTTTCTCTCCAGCATGAGGGCACAGAATGCTTTTTTAATACATATAATGTACATAAAGATATATCATTTTTAATATCTAAGTTAAATACAGTGCCTCCTGCTGGAGTGCTGGCTGGACCACGCACAGCCTCCAGAGTTTCCTTCAATAGAAAAGAGCATTTTCAGCATTTTTTCCCCTCTTTTGTATCACTAACATCTCTCCCAGTGCTTTCTTCCCTAGAGAACTGAGTTCCCTTTTCTTCTTCCATGACACTTCCATTGGGAAGAGAAGGTCTTGGACAACAGGGAAGTAAAATAAAGCAAAGAAGTTTTCATCCTGTGGCCCCATGTAGCTCTTGTTTGCCATCATTTTCTCTTGTGACTTTTTGTAAATTCCAATGGTTTCTAGGTCCCAAGACACTTAATTGAATTAGTTGCTTCAAATATAAATAGATGCAGAAATGTGTAACATTAGAAACATTCTGTTCTGGCCTGCAACCTCCAACCCCCCTTATAATTGGCCTCAATCCTGGGGGTCTCTTCCAGTCTAAACAATTCTGTGATTCTATGACTTCAACTTTGAGGTGAAACAGTAGATGCAAGTGTCTGACAGAAGATTGAAGTAGAATTATGTCAGTATAACATACAGAAAAGCAGATAAGAATTCTTGAGCCTGAGGAAAAGCTGCTATACCTCAAAGAAAAGAAGTTATTTTATAAATATAATCAGCGTTACTTATAGACAACACAGGCTTGTTTTAACATTTCTTATCTTATATTTGTTTTCAGTGAAGTATCACTAAAGAGTCTCAAATATAAATCTCTCTGCAGAAAGACTTCAGAGTTCAGGAACTCCCTCTGGCTCGTATTAAGAAGATAATGAAACTAGATGAAGATGTGAAGGTACACTCATGGGTTTTTTCTTAAGTATTTATGATCCTTTTGATGGATATTATAATTCCCTGCAAGTCATTACATCTTATTATCATTATTTATTATTCTTTTTAAAGCACATTTTAACGGCTGCCTTGAATGCAATATTAGCAGGCCTTGTATAATTAAACTGACCTGGGAAAACAAAATCTCTGGGGAGGTTTGCTGAAGACTTGCAGTCTTGCTTTCTTGTGGTCAGTACCAGTCTACTGTGTAATTCTGGGTACTTCCTAATTCTTAACTGTCTTTTCTCATGTTTCCTCCTTGTTTCTATATAAATCTATAGAGGGTTTAGTATGAACAGAGGCATCACTTAAATATGTACTACACTATTTCAGGTTTTCTGGAAAAAGAAGTAATCATTTAGGTGGATAAGGTGGGGTTGATACAAGTATTTGAGCTGAACCCTTGGGGTTGCCAGCACATGAATCGACTGATGACAACTTGGTGTCATAAAAGGGAGGAGAAAGGAGTGACCTGCAGGGTTTGACTCTTGCCTGCTCCAGCCCTCCCTGGTTTTGGAATTGGAAAGCTGTTCAGACACTTAACTCCTAAAAGGGAAAAAAAGAAAAAAAAAGGTTTGCACTGTCCTCTTTGTTTTCTCAATGTGACATCATCCTTCTTTGAGGACAACCTTTAACATTTAAATGAGGCCCTGAAAAAGGTGTGTGTTGTCTTACTGTACAAGGGAGCTATTCATCCTGCTGGGAAAGGGAATAAACCCAGGCCTCTGAGGGCCCAGGTCAGTGTCTGAACCCAAGGAATGCCAAATGTTTGATGATGATGAAGGGGAAGATGAGATTTTAGGGCAGGGGGGGAAGTCTCTGGCCTGCCTGGGACATTAGTTAATGAGCAGGTTGTACTAGGCAGTAAGCATTAATGCTAAGCCAGCTAATAGTGAAACTGCTTAATTTGAGTAAAACTTGAGCTAGACACTTTTTCAGGAAAAGGAATTTGCTGAGGCAAAGTCTTTACTCAGGCCTCCAATCCTCCTTTGCAATTCCTGCATTAATTTCAAATGATATAAATGTTACCCCTATGAAATAAGGACCAGATTTTAAAAGGAGCCCTCAAGCTGTCCTCTTCAGTTCCCAAATGGTGCCAAGGCACTGCCAGGAGGAGCTGCTGGGTGGGTGACACCCTCTCTGTGACTCTGCCTTGATGCCATTTGCTGGCATCCAGCCCACTATGGACCTGCCAGCTGACTAGTCGTGGAGGAAACAGACTTTCCAGACATATTTTGGGTGCCCAGGACTCTTAAACACTGTGTTTAACACGAGGCTGGTAACTCTTTGGACTGTCAGACCCACAGACACCCAGCTGTGGAAATTCCCCCAGCTCAGCTTTGACCGTCGTGCTGAATCCACTCAGCCCAGCACTGGGCAGTGTTGGAGTCCTGAGTGCAAACTGAAATTCTAAATCCACTTGCAGATGATCAGTGCAGAAGCTCCAGTGTTGTTTGCCAAGGCAGCTCAGATCTTCATCACAGAGCTGACTCTGAGGGCGTGGATACACACGGAGGACAACAAGCGGAGGACGCTGCAGGTAACGGGAGCTGCCTCAGGAACTGGTTTGCAACTCTTTGTTTCCACAACATCAGGCATGTTTTGTAGACAGTAACCTTAGTACCTGTGTGTATCACTACAAAGCACCGTGCACACAAACTAAAATGCTTTAGACTTAATTTGTTTTAAAAATAAAAAAAATAATCCAGGCAGCACCAACTAAAACCCCACCCCAGAAGCCCCAAGCTGCAGCTAACTGTGACCTGCTGTCAGGTCTGGGATTGCTAGAGCTGTTGAACTTCTGATTTGTTTTTCAGTAGTAGTAGTTCTAACATAAACCTGTAGATTTTGGTGTCAGTGTTTAGTTTGTGTCAGTAAATGTGTAACAATGAAAACAAAACCACCCTCCTCCAGAACAGAAACAGATCACTGTTACCTCTGGGTTGAGAGGCCCTCAATTATCATTTTTTAGTGGGTCAAGAGTAAACTGTAACTTTTTATGATCTTTTTTGGGGTGGTGAAAGATATTCACTTTAGCCTTACCTGTTGACCAGAACTTGAAGCTGTAATAACCATCAGTTCAGGCTCTTGGTCAGAGGTGAGAGGTTGTGTGTGGTATTTAGGCCCTTGGCAGAACTCATTGTGGTGGCAGGGAGACCTGATCTCAGTCCAAGGCTGTCCTGTTGAGTGGACATCTAGCCACTGGGTTGCCACTAAACTGGGCTAAAGCTACTTGCTTAACCCAGATTTGAGTTATGCAAGTCTGTTCCTGAGGAGACTGGATTGAACCCTATCCTCAGCACAGGGACTGAAACAGGAGATACATCTGTTCAGTGGAAGTTTTCTTCCTGGTCAAGATATTTTATAATCTATGCTGCCTGCAGAACAAAAGAAGCTTCTCTCCTGCTTTCTACGTGATCATTGTTTGGCAATTAAATGCCAAGACAGTGTGAGGCTTAGAAATGTCAACTAGGCTGAAATGAGAGGCCTGATAGTCTATTAAATGTTAGGTACTCATTAGGCAGCGTGGGCATCTTTGTCTCAAATCTTGTTCATATAAATGCTTTGCAAATTTATCTTTGGCTAATGAGACTGAGACTTTTAATAGCTTCTTGAATTAGCCCTACTTTTTAAGCTGGCTTGCAAGAATTCTAAAATGACAGAATATGTTTTGGTTTGTTTTTTTCTTTAAGAAATTCAGCTCTTTAATCTTGGGGCTTGTTTCAGATCTTAAGCGAATACATTTAAGTGACTTATTGCTGGGTAACTCTTTATTTAGATCCTTAATGCTTTGACCTAATGCTGTTCTTTGGTTTTCTTTTTTCAGGCAAGGTATAAAAGTAAAGTTACAAGCCATTTTAAGAAGATAGTTACCTTGCCAGTTGTTCATAGAGCTTGTTGGCTCTTGCACATCCTTTCTTTGATACGTGTTTGGCCAGTTTGCTGAGTAGATGTTTTAATCTTCATGCTTTCTTTTAACCATTTTGCCCTTCTACAAGCTGAAGCCTGTTCTCTCAGCATCTTTTGGGATTCCCCTGCCCTGAATAAGATACTGTAATACTTAAATTATTATTCTTTTTTTAATCCCATCCCAAACTCCTGGGTTTTGCATATGTTGCCACTAAGACATGGAGCAGTCATCCAGCTCTTTCTGCAAAGCTTTTTCTCAGATATCTTTGGGATTTTTTTTACTTTTTTTAGAAGAATCCCCACTTTTTTTTTTTTTAATGTGCTGAAAAGCTGATAGTGGTTGTCACAGTGGCTGTAGTGAATTACAGCAGTGCTGCTGTGGAGAGCCTGGTGTGTGAGCAGATGACTGTAAAAGCCTGAGTTTGATAAGCACCTTCTTCTTGCACAAAAGTTCTTGCCACCTGGCTTGACCACTTGAGTGAAGACATTCTCACTTGACTCAATTAAAGCTCTCATTTTATTTGTCCAGGGACAAAGCAGACTCCTAAAGCTGAAGACTGTTTTTTCTTTGTGTTGTTGCAGAGGAATGACATTGCTGTGGCCATTACAAAGTTTGATCAGTTTGACTTTCTTATTGATATTGTTCCAAGAGATGAGCTGAAGCCTACAAAGAGGCAGGTGAGAGAGAAAATGCTGCCTGGATGCTCTGTCCTTTCCTTGGTGTTTATTCAGTATCTAATTAAGAGAGAGCTGATAAAGCAATACAGAATCAGATTTAAACATGAGGTTTGTGCCTCCCTCTTTTTGCATGCTGGTTTACAGTAGTTTTCAAGTTCTTAAATTTATTTTTTAATGGAAGGAGAGCCTGAGTGGAGATTTACAGAAGTCTGACTTGAAGATTTACTTAACAGAGAGCTCTGATACCAAACGTTATCAATGCTAAAAGTTTAAAAAGTGTGTTCAGTCTGCATCCTTCAATTTGTAAAGGGAGAAAGAGGCTTCTCTGCTTGGAAGTACCACCTCCTGCATCCTTTGGGGCAGTTGTTGCTACTGTAAACATCCTTGACTGGAAGCTGTGAGGTGTCAGAAGGAGCTTTCAGTCGGATGTTTACAGCAGCAGGCTGCTGCAGTCGTCTGAGCACAAGATCATGGCAACTCAACTTAGGCTCCTGGTTTACAAAGCACTTGTTTCTCCTCTGTGTTAGAGCTAGTGCTGGAAGCACAGTGAGGTGGGGCTGAAGCTCAGCCTTGCTGCTTCAAATGCACAAAGAAACAGATGCTGCTCCTGGTAGGCTAATTAATAGTCTCCTTCTTCTGAAAGTTTGGTGTTTCGCTGCTAAAATTCACCAGTTCAGTTACTGCTCATCTCTCTGTTATGAGTTGCCTGGTAGATAGAACCACTCCACAGTGTTGCACCTTCTTCAGCAGCTCCTGGAATCATCACCCAGGACTCAGCTGGAGCAATTTCATCTCTCAACAGCAAATTTCAGCAGTTTAGAACAATTCCTTCAAGCGGTTTTCTGATACTTTTGAAGGTTTGCAGTGTGTTTGCCTTTGAAAAAATCCAAGGTTGTCTTTCTAACAGCCTCTCTAGTGAGTGCTGCTGGGGAGGCTGGCACACTAAACCATCTTTCTGGCAAGTGTTGTGCTTGGAATTCTTTCCTTTGACATGTTTTCTTGTGTTCCAGTCTAAATCCTGGATAACACTCAAAAAGATACGTGCTGTGAGCACAGAGACCAGCAGTTCCATTGTGGACCTGGATTCCTTCAGTGAGTTCCCTGCAGCAGTCCAGCAGAGATGGTTTATCCAGAGATCACTGGTTTGATGTTAAATAAAAAGGCAAAGCAGCAGCCTGGCCAGCAACTCTCAGTGCTCTGCTGAACTAGGGGAAAGAAAAACCCCATTTCAGTTTGATAAGCTGCAGTGAGTTGGCTGCAGCCTGAAGTAACACAGGTTAACAATTCTGGCATTGCAAATTCTCTGCACTCTTCATCTGAGGGTGCAATCTGTATTTCATCTCTACCACAGCAAAGACTGTTTGACAAGTTAGTCTTGGTTACGTGGAAGAGCTGGGAACGAAACCATCACTCTTGTGTTGCTCTGGAAACTACAGCTGTGCCTTGAAAATAAAACATGGCCCACGATGGGATACAACCTAGTGCAGGAAGATTTGTATTTAAAGCCATCTTTCCCTCTAGCACATGCAACTTCAGCTGGAATAGATACTTAACAGAAGTGCTTGGTTCCCTTCATTGTTTTGGGGATTCAGCAGGGAATTGAGGACTGGACTGCTCTAGAAATAACATATCTAAGGACTGGGCTGCACAGAAACAGCCACAGCTCTTCTGTGCATGTGGTTTTATGGTGAACAGGACATGGGCCCTGCTGAATATATATTTCAAATTTGGTATTAATCCCTCCTGCAAAGGATTTGGTGCAGGGAGTAGGAATAATTGGTGAACTACCACGTGTGGAAGTGCTGTTGGAGTTTGATACAGCTGCTTGCAGCACTGTGGAATAGTGCTAATAGTGTGGAATAAGCTCTGCAAGGCAGGCTTAGGAGTTGCTTCTTGATTACAGTCAACTGGGAACAGCTTGATCTTTTGGGGGGAGGTATTTTGTGGTAGACCCTTGCAAAACCTCCCAAGAGTCTTTTCTTTATTCAAGCCAGTGGGCTCTTCTGCTCCAGCCTGATGCCCATCTAGACAACATACATTGATCTTGGTTGATGTGAGCGTTTCTTTGCCTGTCCAGCTGGCTATACTGAAGGTAATCCATGAGCAAGCCTCACTTAGTGCAAGGGAGTCAAGCAGACTGGTGTGAGTGGGAATGTACCATGTTGTAGCACGTGTAAACATCCTACACTCTCAGCTGTGACCTGGAGGTGGCTGGGAGAGGATTGTTTACGCCTTCTGCCATGGAGAGAACGTCTGGCAGGGTGCAGGATCCCACTGCTCCTCTGGGGAGCTGAAGGATTTGGATTCTGGAGTGTTAATGGCTTGCCACTTAACATAATCTCTGAAAATCTACTTCTTCACCTAAAATATGGTTAATCAGAAGGGGCTTTTCTCTCCTCAAGACGTGCTTAGATAAAACAAACGAGCAGTGTTGCAGCCTGTGCTCCTGACAGCGTGAGCTAGAGCAGAGCCTTGTTTCCTCACACTGCTGAGATCTTCCTGCTACCAGCATAATGAGGCTGTTCAGCCACGGTGCAGGATGGAATTGTTATCATTCTGGAAGAGCTGGGTTTAAACACATCAGTAAAGGCACGAGTGTACATCAGGTCCATGGCTTTTATTCCCACGGGTTTCACATCACAGCTAGGTTGAGATTTGTGTTGGGCACGTAGATTAGGAAGAGGGGTTTGTTGACAGAGGAGGCTCTGTAAAAGTCTTCCTGGTGCATTTGCAAGTCATCCTGTGTTAAGATAACAGGCAACGATGGAGTTGACTGAGGAGGAGGTGCATGGATTTCAGCTATGGTAATTTTGCTCCTTTGCTTGTGATGAAATTGGTGACTAGGTTATTCTCTACAGGATGTTAGAAATGGGTTTGATTTCCATATAGCTGAATAAATGAGGAAACCCATCTTGATTTATCCTTTCAGGTTTACTTAGTGAAATGTTACAAACAGGGCAGTAGAGATGCTTTCCCATGGAGCACGCCTGGGGAGGGGTTTTGGATGTCAGGCTGTTCCCTCCCCATTTACCTGTCTCTCACCTGTGCCACAGGAGGAGGTACGTCAGGCCGTGACCCCCGCCGAGCCCGTGCAGTATTATTTCACCCTGGCTCAGCAGCCTGCAGCAGTGCAGGTTCAGGGGCAGCAGCAAGGCCAGCAGACCACCACGTCCACAACCACGATCCAGCCTGGACAGATCATCATTGCCCAGCCTCAGCAAGGGCAGGTGAGGGGCAAGAGCAGCATTCGGGGGCTTTGCAGGGCAGCGAGGCCCTCAACTCATCTCAAACAGTGCAGTGTCCTGTTGTCACTGCTCAGAACAGTCACTAACAGTATGAAATGCATGTCCTGGTCACAATACCTCAGTAATGAGGGTCATCTAGGCCCTGGGTTCCCTTAGGTGGTGGTGGAAGCCACAAGCAGCAGCAGTGGGTGTAGGATGCAGCCTGTCTGTTAGGATCTGTGTGTGGTGTGGCTGTTTGACCCGTGTTCAGCCCTTGCTTGGTCCTTGTCCCCGTTTTGAACGCAGAGCACGCCCGTGACGATGCAGGTTGGAGAGGGGCAGCAGGTACAGATAGTGCAGGCCCAGCCCCAAGGCCAGACCCAGCAGGCGCAGAGTGGAACTGGGCAGACCATGCAAGTCATGCAGCAGATCATCACCAACACGGGAGAAATCCAGCAGATTCCGGTAAGATTCCACCAGCAGCAACCTCTAAGAGCCTGGTGAGCAGCCTGGCTGCTGGTGTTCTGGCATGAGGCTCCATATGTATGCTTTTTACCTGTAAGAGGACGTTTGGATTGAGTGGTGTGTCTCCTCCTAGAGAGGGAAAACTAACCCAGTGTGAGGTGAAGGAGGAAATAAATGTAGCCCATCTAGTGCAGACTCGTGGGCTACTCCAAATGCTTCCCCCTGAGTGAAGCAGTTATGATTAGGAAGCAATAAATAAAACGTTTCCTGGGTAAGCTTTAGTTCTTTACTACAGCATGGTTTCAATAAAGCATAATTACCTCCTTTTGCCTTTACTTGGTTCTGCCTCTGCAATCTGAAGTCATGACCTGGCAGACTGAGTGGGAAAGGTGCCATCTGTGAGTTATTAATAAACTTTTATGTTATAAGAATTTTTTTTCTACAAAATCCTTTGAGCTGATGGGAGGAATGGCTTTGCAGAACCAGAAGGTATCTCCTCACTTTCACATCAGTACAGACCTGCTGTGGCATTGAGAGTGGGGTTTTGAGGACCCAGCAGCAGGAACATCCTGGCATGTGTCCTAGGTAAACACGTGGGTCAAAAAAATGTCACCTTTCCCCTCCTTCTCTGTAACTTAGCACAACAAAGCTGGGTCTTTTTGGTTCCCATCTGGAAAATTTCACACCTCTTACAGAAAAAAAAACCAACCAAACCAACAAAACCAAAAACCCCAGACCCCAACCTGTCCAGTTCAGTGTACTTAACCAGCAACCCACAGGTCAGACCAAGTGACCAAGACAAGCACTGCACTTTGGCCAAGACTGATCTTTCACAAGGGTTTTGCTTTCCAAGGTTTGCTGAGCTTCCCTCTGTACTGCTGGCAAATGTTTGTGCTTTGATGGAGTATCTTGAAAACAGTTTAGACTGTGGGTGTTGCCAGATTTTTCCAACTTGCTTCCAAATTCTTTTTGTCTCTTGTCTTCAGCTGGTTCTTGCTGCTTGGCTTAGGGTGCTGGTCAGAAAGGAGAGGGTTGCTTGCCAAATACAGTGGTTTACTACACAGCCTTTTTTCTCCTCTGCATTCTCCACTACCTTTCTTCTACATTCTTTTATTTTTCCTTTCCTGATGAAGAATCTCTTCAAGATACTTGTTCTTCAAAGCATTTTGGAAGATCTCCACCTCCAGCCTCAGTGAATCCATTACAACAGTCCTGAACCTTGCAGCATCCTCCTTTGGTTCAGCATTAGAAGAACAGTCCAGGCTTGTTTGCCAGTTGTTTCCAGGGACTGCTGTAGCTCCCTACAAGAAGAGGGCTTAGAGATCTGCTAGGAGAAAGGATTCTTGATGAAGTAGCTGTGAGGGGGTTGTCACCTCCTGCAGAAGGTCCTGTTCTCCACAGAGGTGGCTTCTGTTGTAAGTGGTCCTGTGCTTTAGGAGTGTGAGGCTGGAGGCTTTTGAGGAGTGTCTGATTTTGGCCAAGAACATGCTTCTGCTTCCTCTTGCCTGGGAGCATCTCTGAACAGGCAGTGGTGAGTGGTCCTCAGAAGCTTCTTATGCTGTAGATGTGAGATGGGAACCTACCAGGTGACAGAGTGTTGCCTTCTGCCTTTGGGAATCGTCAGACTGCACAACAGAGCAACTTGAGAGCAGTGTTCTAATAAAACAGCCACAACTCGCTCTTCTATATCTAGCAGAGATACAGTTTTGACTAATTAAGAAGATTCTTCTTAATCCTGGCATGCTGAAGAATCACAGTTCATGCTGAAGGAAGCCCCTTCCCCCGTGCTCAGCTCCAGCGAGCGCAGTGAAGTAGAACCTGGAGCCCTGCACTCTGCCAGAGCTTCCTGGCCTGAAAAGTGCTTTCTGTTTGGTTCCACAGAACTGCAGTCCTTGCTCTCTCCTGTGCTGCTGCCCATCCTGCACTCCCTCTGCTCTGCTTTCCTCACTTCCCCCTCGAGCTCCTCTCTTTTGGTGTAGCTAGTGCTGTCGTCTGGTAGTTCCTTTTCACTCTGGTACTGCTCAGGTTCAGCGAAGGGCCTTTCATAACACAGAGCTGACAGCTTGACACGCTCTCAGAAGCCTGGTAGTGCCTCTGGCAGCTGCAGGAGCATTGAGGGAATCATGTTCATGTTCTCTGCTGGTTTTCTGCATGCTCCTGACACTGTGTACACTTCTCTGCTGTGATTTACCACTTACTGCAGGACTGCGAGTGGCCTGTGGAAAGGTGACTTTTTTTTTTCTTTATAAATCTGAGGAGAAACTAGAAGGAAGTTTATACATCAATTAAATGGTGATCACTTGCTTGTCCACATTAATTTTGCATTAAATTTAATCTGTGTCTCAGCTAGACCTAATTGGGCAGGTTTTTGGGGGGTTTAATCTCATTTCTGGAGAGATACTCTTTCTAAATCGCTCTCAGCCATTCAGTTGGCAGTGTAGCTAAAATCTGAGCAGGAAGCCCCCAGCGTGGAAAACACCATCTTTGCTGAACTAAACCAAAATCTTTGTTGAAGTGTTTGTGCCCGTGTGGAGTTTATTTGCTCTTGAAATAATACTGGAGCTTTTAGACACAGCTGGTGAAGTCAGAGGCATTTGTGTAGATGCCAAGACCACGTTGTAGGCACTTGAACCTTTGTCAGTGAGCCCTTTCTGAGGTATTCCATGTGTCCTTTCCCCTTTTTAAAATGAAGAAAACTCAAAATAGGTTTTTTATTTTATATAATTAACCCAGACTTGTTAACTTCCAAATGTTCTGAAGTTAAATAACACAAAATGAAAAATTCAAGAGTAGTATCAAACACACAGTGACCTCTTTATTGCCTCTCAGGTGTGCATGAGCTGTTTGTTGCAGGTGATGATGGTGACATTGTCTGCATATCCCACACCCCCAAACATCTACCCTGGCAAGATCAGGGTTGTAGGAAATAAATTTGCATTTGAAAGTTACACACCAAGTATTGACACAGAAAGTACCGACCTGTGCCAGGTGGGAGTTGACGTATTGGCAGAGAGTTGCATTAAAAGCTTCCAAGTATATCCTGGGGTTTTGTCATCTCTGCTGGCTTTGTGTGAAAATTTCCCATGTATTTTTTAGTATTTTTTTGGCAGGGTATAGTAGAAGTGTCACGATGTGCAGCTAGCTCATGACAGTTTTCTTTATGTGCAATGATACATCGAAGCAGTAACTCGATTCTAACCAAAACGAATAATAAGTGTTCTCCAAGCTCCCTGAGCACTTAATATGCTTTAGCTACTAACAGCCCACCCCCCTCCTGGAGCAGGATTAATGCTGGGCTTCCTTGGGGGTTTTACTTCAGGAGCAGCAGGAGTTCTGTGGACTTCATTCTTGCTTTGGCAGCGCCCCTGGTAGTTCCTCATCTCCGCTGTGAATCCGCCGAAGCTCCCCGGTGTCATCTGTTGTGGAAACAAGAAGGGAAGTTTGTGTGTTGCAGGTTACACCGTTACCTGTTTAATTTTCTTTCCCTGCCCCCTCCGCTTGTCTCCAGGTTCAGTTGAATGCTGGCCAGCTGCAGTATATCCGCTTAGCCCAACCTGTGTCAGGCACCCAGGTAGTCCAGGGGCAGATCCAGACGCTTGCAACCAATGCGCAGCAGGTACGCACCACAACGGCAGGGCTGACATGAACTGGTAAAGTGTTGTTCCCTAGCTCCTGAAACTGCAAAATTCCAGGAGAATTTACCAACTCTTGGGCTAGGGCTCCTGCGTTTCTTTCCTTCCTGTTGCTTTCCTCAGAATAATGAAGCGAGGAGCGTAGCAGAAGCCTCCTTTCCCTGTATGTGAAAGGTGCATGCTTATATGTACGTGTGTGTGTCTCGCTGTATAAAGCTCATGCTGCTTCTGAGCTGATTGCAGGTAAAACTTCACTTCATCAACCTTCTTTTTACTTCTTCTGGCCGGGTGAGGGAGGAGCAGCCCTGCAGCCTCTCAGGAGAGCCATGGCCAAGGGGACGCGTCCAGCCCGGCGGCGCTGCCAGCAGCTTGTCTCACTCCTGTTGAGACCGGTCGCTGAGGGATTCTTCTCTGCCTTTGGAGGATGGGAAGGCTGCTGCTTTTCGGTGGCCCTGGAGGCCACGGCCTCCTCGTGGAGGTCAGGGAGGACGTGGTTGTGTGTGGTTGGAACAGCTGACTCCACATCCTTCGGTCCTGCCTCGCCGTTAGCGCCGGCGGGACTGCAGGCTGGCAGCCTGAGCTGTGTCTGACCACGTGGTGGGGTGATGGAGTTTGAAAAAGTCTAAAAGCTCTTGAAAGGCAGCAGCAGAATATTGTTAGCAGGGTTCTGACCCTCTCCAAAGTGCTGTCGGTGATCATCCTTCTCTTACCCTTGTAGATCACGCAGACAGAAGTCCAGCAAGGACAGCAGCAGTTCAGCCAGTTCACAGATGGACAGGTAAGAGCATGGAGCTCCTTGGTGCTACATCAGGGGCTGGAAAGGCTCTCCTGAAGTCCACGTGTCCTCACAAATCAGCTCCTCCTGACAAAACACTGCCACCAAACCCAAACTGGGGGCAGGCGAAGGGGATGTTGTGCCCATATTAATTCTGGTGGATTCTTTGTGTTCTGCTGCACTCACTCCAAATTAATCCAAATTAGTCCCTTGTGCTCTGGGTGGGATGCCTTTTAGTCCTAGCCAGTTTAGGAATAAAGGTCTTAACATCTAGCTATTGACTCGTGCGTAAGTAGCCTGAGCTCAGTCTGGGCATCAGAAATTCACAGAATTACTTTGTTATGAGCAAACGTTTAGTGGCAATTCATGGCCTGGAGATTATTTTTAAGGGGGGCAGATTTTGTTTGGGCCTGAGATTTGCTGTTAATGCCACCACTACAGTTGTAGGGTTAATGCATCTCTGTGCCAGGACAGGCTGAGAGCCTTGTGGCTGCTGAGCTGGAGAAGAGAAGCCTCAGAGGGGATCTGAGCAGGGCTGAGCAAGAGCTAAAGGGCCCCTGGGGGCAAGAGGCTGGGGCCAGACTCTGGTCAGTGGTGCCCAGGGACAGGACAAGGGGCAACGGGCACCAACTGGAACCCAGGAGGTGCCACCTGAGCAGGAGGAGAAACTTCTTTGCTGGGAGGGAGCAGAGCCTGGAGCAGCTGCCCAGAGAGGCTGTGGAGTCTCCTCTGGAGAGATTCCAAACCTGCCTGGACTCCATCCTGGGCACTCTGCTGTGGGGGACCCACTGGAGCAGGGGGGTTGGATGAGATGATCTCCAGAGTTCCCTCCCAACCTCACCATGCTGGGATTCTGGGATGCACAACTTTGTGCTTGGAGGGAGCTGGTGCTGGTTGTGATGAGAACTGACAGTTGTTTCTTTGCCCTGCTTCCTCCTGCCTCAGCAACTGTACCAGATCCAGCAAGTGACCATGCCTGCAGGCCAGGACATCACCCAGCCCATGTTCATCCAGTCCACCAACCAGACCTCAGATGGCCAAGCCACACAAGTGACAGGGGACTGAGTGGGGACATCAGAGCCAGTCTCTGCTGCATAGAAACAAACCAGCCTGACCTCTGCCGTGCCAGCCTGGTCCAGGGACTTCATCTGCTTCTGTGTATCTGTACTTGGTGTGAAGCCTACAGTAGGCTGCAGTCACTGGTGCACTGCACACCTTCCTCTGGTGGGTATGAGAGAATATCCAGCAGACACTGACAAGAATGCAATATTTTTCTTATTTTTAGATGTCATTATTTCAATGTATCCAGCTGCTTGTTCCAACCCATCAAAATGAGAACTAAAAAGGAATTTGTAGCATCTCATCAAACGATGCCTAAAACATTTTTATCTAGGAAAATTATTAAAGGGTACTGCCTCTGGTTTGTTGTAAGAGCTTTATTCCCTGTATTCTGTTTGTGTTTTTATTTTGTTTTTTTTCTCTGAATAGAGCTAGATTCGGTCCTCCCATCTCAGTGGTTTATTAGAGGTCTATGGGGGGAGTGTGTGTGTGTGTGTGTGTGTTAGGTTTTCCTCTCCTGCCTCCTTTTTTGGTAAGCCAGAGCATGGGCTATATGCAGCTCTAGGGCAAGGAGTAGGGGAGGAGTAATTAAAGTGAAAACAGGAAAAAAACAAACCCCAAACATTCCTCATAGGATGACTGTATTTTCTAAGGGGCAAAAGATTCTTTCATTTGGCCTGGATTATTCCAGAAACACTAATGGAAGTCTGGACAAACCCCAGCCCTGCTGTTAACTGTTGTACTCTCCTCAGTCGATGCATGTACTATAAGCTTCATGAAATGAAATAAATCTCCTTTGTAAGATAACCTGTGTGCTGTCTTGGAGCTCCTCAACCTGCCAAGCAAAGAGCAGCCTGAATCCCTGGGAAACATCACACCTGAGGGCCTGGAACCAGCCGTGGGGTTTGGGGGGTGGCCTGGAGAAGGGGTGGGGATGAAGAGACAAGAGGGGTGAGGCTGGAGGGCTGCAGCTGCTCCCACGCCAAGGGGTCCCCACGGGGGTGTCTGCAGGGATTGATCCATGGAGCACAGCCCTCCCCTGCAGGCTCCAGCACCTCCCCCTGCAGCCCCAGCAGGGAGGGGTCTGAGCCAGCTCCAGAGGTCAGGTTTAACTGATCCCAGCAGTGTTAGGCTGAGTTTAGGTCTCGGCTAAACTGGGGGTGGGAGTTTGGAACCGAGACCCTTTGAGTGTGGGACGTGGGGCAGTGGGCAGGGCTGGCACTGGGTCTGGGGGGTCTCGGTGCCTCTGTGCCACGCTGGGCAGTGCTGGCACCACAGCTCTGGCAGGGGCACCGAGGTCACCAGGGGGTTGCAGCTGCAGCGTGGCCAGGAGCCCAGTGCCCAGGCTGCTCAGCCCTGCTGGGTGGCACGGGGAGGAGCTGGAGCTGGGGAAGGAAAACTCCACTCCAGCATCTGGCCGGTGCACACCTAAAACTGGGCCAGCTTGTTCCAGTCAGACAAGGGAGCTTTGCTGCACGACCTGGGCTTTTTAAATGTCAATTTTCTTTCTTCTTTTCCTTTTTAATTCTTTTTTAATTTTTTCCAACCCTGCAGTGCCTGGGAGCCAGCAGCACTGCAGCAATAGGGTGATGCAACCCAGCACCTCCCTGGGCATCAGCCCCGTGTGGGCAGAGTGAGAGCTCACGGGCAGAGCCCCTGGGTGAGCATCCTACAACAGCTCCACATCTACAACTCCCTGGCAGGAGGCTGGAGCCAGGGGGGGTCAGGCTCTGCTCCCAGGGAACAAGGGACAGGACAAGAGGAAACAGCCTCAAGTTGCCCCAGGGGAGGTTGAGGTTGGCCCTGAGGAACAATTTCTTCCCCTGGAGGGTTGCCCAGGGCTGTGCCAGGCTGCCCAGGGCAGTGGTGGAGTCCCCACCCCTGGAGGGGTTTCCAAGCCGTGGAGATGTGGTGTGAGGGACACGGGGCAGTGGGGACCTGGCAGTGCTGGGGGATGGTTGGACTTGATCTTACAGGTCTCCTAATCAAAATGATTCAGTGATTCTCTCTCCTGTGGACGGAAAACATGAAGTTGGGATGGAAAAAAGCACCTCGTGTGAAAGCTGTGTGGGTGGAATGGGCCAGGAGAGGGCATGTGGGGGTGGGGGAGCTGCACTGGGGTCTCAGTTACCTGCCCCCAGGCCAGGGGCCAGCGTGTGGCCAGTGGCTCTGATCCTCTGCAGCCTGATGGTCCAATGTCTGTTGGTCCCAGCAGCCTGATCCCACCACAGCAGAGGTGCCATGGCCTGGCTGGTGCTTTCCCCCAGGGCTCTGGATGGAGGCAAGAAGCAATGAGTTTCCTCCAGAGCAGCTCTGTTGGAAAAGCACCTTTCTGCCTGTGCCAGGGATGGGCTTGTGAGCACGTGTGGCTCCTGGAAGGGCACAGCAGCTGCCTTGTCTCACCAGCCACGGGCTGAGGCCACAGGCAAGGCTCTTCTGAAGGAAAGCTCCTTACCCAAGGCAGCCAGGTTTGCTTGAAACTGTTGAGATTTGAAAGGGAATAAATGGTTTAAAGGACAGAAAATGGGAGTGAGGTGCTGCTGCTGAAAGGAGAGTAGTTTCCAGCAAAAGCCTAGTTGAAGAGGATGCTGGTTTTGACATGCTCAGTGTCTTCTCAATGGTTGCCCAAAGTCTGATCTCATCTGGGAGTGTGGGAATCTAACGGACAGTTCATACTGGAGCTGAGAGGATCAGAGGAAAATATCCCTCAGGCTGTCCCAGGAGAGGTTTAAGTTGGACCTAAGGGACAATTTCTTCCCCTCGAGGGCTGCCCAGGGCAGTGGTGGAGTCCCCATCCCTGGAGGGGGTTCTGAGCTGTGGAGAATCACAGAATCTTGCCCTGGTGAAGGTCATGCTGCTACTGTAGGGACCAGCAGATCAAGGGCTATCAGGTGTGAAAGCTGCTGGCCACACAGCAGAAGGCACTCAGGTGAAGATGCTCCACTTGTAGCCCCTTCTGGTGCAGGCTCTGGGTTCACACTGTGTTTCCTCAGGGCTGGGGTTGGCTCCTGTCTGCTCCTGCTGCTGCAAGACCCTCGTGCAGCTCCACAGGGGCACTGCTGGAGGG